GAGGCATCTCTTTAATGAATAGCTAAACTTAGTGTTTAATTAGCATGTCATCATTAGCCCCCAAAGAGTTGGCTCTTGTAAGCAGTTTCAACATTGTCCCTATAGTCTTAGTTGCCTTGCTCCCTTGCTCAGAAGGTCCCCTATTTCGTGCAAGACATGTCTCATGACCTTGATTAAGCTTCAGATTTGAGGTTCAATTAAACTACGCATCTGAATTATTCAAAAATCTGACCAGGAAGGTTTGGATTATTCAAGTATTAACTATAAATACAACAAATAATCCATGGCCATCACTTTCAGAACCCACCTGCCAATCTGATACTCTCTTCCCAGCCAGATATGATTTGCACATTACTGCTCCCCAAGTCCACACGAATGACAGGACAAGTAGCAGACCCCTTCCCTCCCAGACCGACCATACCCGGGCACATGATGAGTGGTTGATGGGCAGTGGGTTGGCACCATGCTGCCTGAGTGGGAAAGAACAGAGGCAACAATTGCAGTAACTGTGGTTTCCACTGACAAGGACCTGGAGAAGGGTGGAGGGAGCAGTGCCTTTTCAGTTAAGCCTTACCCCCGGTGCAGACCCCAAGCATCTCCTCCTCTTGCCTTTCTTGCCAAATGTGTGCCTTGAAAGGTGAGAACACTGCCAAGCTGCCTTCTAGATGTTTTCTGGTGGGCCTGGCTGTTCTGAAGCCTTAGGGATCACTGGTGGCTACTCACCACACATAGTGCACATTCTACAAAATGTAAAGTCCTTTGGGACATAGCTGCCTTGACTGCTACAACCTGAAATTATATCATAATCCTTTCACCTACCACCTTCCTGCACCCCCGCCTCCCTGCTCTAACCTGCCGTCTTAAAGTCCCTGCCAATTAGCTCATCACCTGCCTAAAACCATCCATAGCTGATATTCTAGGTCTCCTGTGATCGGACTCAGCCTATGTTACAACACACGTGATGCACGTCCTCCTCAACCCCGCTATACTGAATCAGAGAAGTGAACAACCTGACTAAATAGGATTCTCTAACCAGACAACAAACTCTGCTAAACCAGCACTTCTCAAGCATTAATGTGCATGCAAATCACTGGGAAGTTGTTGAAATGCAGATCTTGATTTGGGACATCTAGGGTAGGGCTCAAGATTCTGCATTTCTGACAAGCAGGATCTTGGGGTTCAGTCTCTGGGAAGAACTGTGTCTGGTGCTGGTTCCTGTGCCTCCCATTGAGTAGAAAGCACTGGGGCATCTTTTTTTTTTTTAAGATTTATTTATTTCTGCATACAGAGCTGGAGTACAGGCCAGAGGTGCAGGGGCGGTGAGAGGACTCACCAGAGACAGAGTGGGGAGCAGAACAGCCAACTGACGAAGTACACTGCCGAGGGGAGCAGTGGGTGGGTCAGGAGAGGTCTGCTGTGCCATGTGGGTCACCTCTGGGGCTGGGTGTCGAACTCATGCTGAAGTGGCTTTAGCTTCTTAGTGCTGTGCTTTATTTAACCCTCTGCGCCACCAGAGAGGGTCCACTGTGTCATCTTTTTAGCATCGAATTTTCATGGGGGTGAGGGAAATTCAAAATAGCTTTGTTTCAACATTCCATTAACTCTAAGTCAATTTCATGCAGTACAAACTAACACAATAGACAATCCACGAACCAGCTCCTAATAGAAACCAAAACTCATGATATCAGAGCCCTCGCCAATTACCTTAGAGCACAGAGGTGGTGAAATTTCTAAGTGTGCAATTTAAGCTTAGAGAAGAGCAGTCTCGGGCTTATACTTGCCTACCTGTCCTGCAGCCCCTGGCCCTTACCAAATCTCACCCTTCGGGGAACCACATCACCCTTCAGGATGAGGAGTACACCACTGGACGGCTTCCACTTCCTGCTCTCCAAGGCCCAGCTCTTGGAACAAGCTGAAATTTCAAGGCATGCCTTGAAGCACTGGCACGTTCCATGGAGGTTTTATAGGTCACCTGGTAGGTAGATCTTAGCAGATGGCGGCTGTGTTTTAATTCTCAGGAAGAAGCTCACTGAACTCAAGGGAGGGGTCACAGGGCCCCCCACCAGCTCCTGGTTTCTCTACATGGGAGCACTGACAGTCCTGGCTGGGGGGAGAGGGACAGGTGGAGGAGGTGGGCTGATGGGCATCACCTGATAGCCCCGCCTGCCTGAGCCCTGCGAGGCAGAGCATATCCACCAGCCCCCTTCCGATGCAGAGGAACTTCTGTAAAACCATCTGCCACCCTTGGCAGAACTCACAGAAGTGAAAAAAACAGCAAGCAAATGGGATTTTTCAAGAACAGCAGCATCGTGCGTTCCCTCCATACATAAGAAGCTCGACTGGCTCAGGGTGTGCAGGGTGGTCTTGGATTCAGGCCCCGTCCATGTGCGTGTCGCACAAGAGCTGCCAGTGCACGTTGATTCTGCGGTGTTGGTTTTCAGCGCCAGCTGCCCACTAGCTGGAGAGCTTGTGATAATGCCAGTGCCCTTTACCCACCCCAAATCAATTAAATCAGAATTGGGGGTGAAGATGAGGGTGGAGCCAAACACAGGTGGGTTTCTTAAGTGCCCAGGTGACCTGGCTGTACAGTGAAGGTTGCAAACCAGTGTGGGTTTTTTTGGGTTTTGTGGGGTTTTTTGTTGTTTTTTTTTTTTTTTTTTCAGAGAACAAGGAAAAGTACCTCTCTTTTTTTGATCATTGACTTGTTCAGCTCTTAAAGCTTCACACCTTATTTCTTTATTGCAGTACATGGTATTGGTAATAGCGAATAGTCTCATAAAATTTGAGTCACAAACTACATGTGCTGTCCTAGAAGATGCTCCAATCAGCCTGTGGAACATGCTCACACCATTGCAGGAAGATATGCTGGGATTTTAGTGACACTTAATAAGAGACAGAAACGATGGAAACAAGCGGAAAGCTGCACCGAGTGCAGTGTGTTATGGGGCATTCTGCAGCTTTTAATACACTCAGGATCTGTACACACTATCTTAAAGAGCTAGTCACAGACTACGTGTAAATATTAAAGGTTTAGAACTATGCTTTTGAATTATTCCAATTCTGTTGTTTTTTTCCATTTTTTATTTCTAACAACTTCGAAATCTCTGACATATTAAAACGATAAACATTTAAGGCGTGCAACCTGATGTTTCGATATGCACGTACATTCTGAAATATCACCACGGTATGGCTCAGCACCGTATCCATCACCTCTGCACCTCTACGTAGTATGTGTGCACCTTCTGCTTCTTTTTCTTGTGTAATTGCTCTGGCCAGGACTTCTGGCATTACTTTGAACAGAAGTGGCAAGATTAGACATCCTTGTCTTCTACTGGACATAGGAGAAATGGTTTTAATCACTTCCCATTGGTAATAACATTAGTTGTTGGCCTTATAGTATTGAGGGAAGTTTTTCTGTACCTGTTATTCCAGGGAATTTTTATCATAAATGGTTTGTGGATTATGTCAAATGCTTTTTCTCATTATTATTAGAGTTTATCATGTGCTTTTTAAGCTTTCATTTGATTAGTGTATCACATGGGTTATTTCACACATATGGAACCATCTTTGTGCCCTGGAAATAAATACCACTTGGTCGTAGTACATCATCTTTTTAATGTGCTGTTGAATTGAGTTTGCTGCTATCTTATTGAAGGTTTTTAGGTCTATATTCACTAAGAAATTTGGCCTGACATTTTCTTGAAGTATCTTTGTCTGGCTTTGGTATCAACATAATGGTATCCTCAGAAAATATGTTTGGAAATGTTCTATTTTTTTTTTTTTTTGAATGGGTTAAGGAGGATTGGTAGTACCACTCATGAAGTCACTGGTTCACAGCTTTTCTTTGTTGGGAAGTTTTTGATTACTCCAATCTTATTTGTATTGGTCTGTTTAGGCTTTCTATTTTAATTTTAGATCTTAAATAGATTATATGTAATAGGAATTTATCCATCCTTTCTATTTTAAAATGTTTAAATCTCTTTTTCAGACTCTGTGAGAGAGAAAGGGAGAAAGAAAAAAAGAGAATGAGATTCATAAACACAAAATATCTGAAAAGTATATATACTAAAAATTTTAAAGTCATCTTGCTTGGGCTAAAGTTAAAAGGGGCATCACTTTTATGCTCTTTTTCTTAGTTTGTTAAAAAAAATTATATTTTAAGATTAAACATTTATTTTCCAACTAGCACCCTACATGAATTTCAAAGAGAGAAAATCATTTTCATTATTCAGAGAAAGCTATCAAGTCTCAGTGAGGTGGCCTAACTTTGTCATGTGGCCTAAAACGTGGTGGGCATTAGTGTGAACGTATAGCTGAGCTGTTTCACAAATTTTAAAAGACTTAAAAATGAGGTAAAATCTAGCTCACTGGGCCCAGGGCCAGGATGCCTTGTACTGTCCACACCGCCTATTTGTGGCACCGGGGCTCAGCCAGCAAGGCTGATTTTCACTGAAGGAGGAGGAAGGTAAATCCTGTGGTCAGCAGACATGGGCAGGCTGGTGCATGGAGAGCCTAAGCCGCCAGCGCCCCTCCAGCAGCCCGGGCATCTTGCAGCCTGGCCCGTGGCCTCTCCCAGCCCCTGGGCTGACTGGCCTGACTGTTCCCTGCCCACCCTGAGGCTGCGAGGAAGATCAGCTCAGTGCCAGCAGATGCCAGCCTCTGGGGAGTGCGTCTGCCCTGCATGGCCCTTCCCCTCCTGACAGGGAAACTCACTTCATACAGACTTGCAGGGGAGATGTCCCAGGGTTGGAGGCAAAGCCAGATGGGCACTGGGTGATTAAAGGCACGCTTACGGCCAGAAAATGGTGAGTAGGCATTTACCGGCAATAGGCATTACCAGTAAATACGAATGTGTATTTCCCCCCGAAATTCCATCAAGTACAAACACGTCTTCCCCATTGTTCTGCAATGTGGTTTACCTTAAGTGCGGTGGGTATGCTGTGTCTCATACCTTTTAATGTTCGATTGTTGCTCTTATTATTGTTTTTCTCCCCTGCCAGGTGCAGCTCATCCACTATAACCACGAGTTATATACAAATGTCACAGAAGCTGCAAAGAGCCCAAACGGATTGGTGGTAGTTTCTATATTTATAAAAGTAAGTATCTTGCTTTTCTTCATGCCCCTCTTCTTGCATCCCAAGAATATGTCGTGGAATGTCTGCTTCCAGACTCAGTCGGACAACCAAAGGGGACAGGCCCAGGGACACCCCTTAGAAACAACCAAAGGGGTGACATGCAGCCAAAGCTGCCCTGGATATATATCCAGATTTATGAAAAACCGAGGTCCCTTTCAGTGAGAAGCAAAAGCAGTGGGCTCCATTTGGGAAAACCAGGGTCTGCAGAGCTAGGCAGCTTCTGTCCTAGAGAGGAAAGGGCTGCTGGATCCTGGCAGGCTTCAGCACCCAACCCCGCCAGGCAGAAGAATCAGAGGGATGCAATAGAAGGTGAAGGGGTAGCCCACGACACCCCACAGGAATAAAGGCCACCCCACCAGCTGGAAACCCAAGGTAAATAGGAGCTATCTCTCCTACTGTCTGCGAGAAACAGCTTCCTCTGTCTCCTCCACCTTGCTCTGAGGACCACCTTCCCCCTCTCCCTCATAAGCATCTCTGGGGAGAATTAAGCAAAGATGCCAGTGCTGACTTCCTGACATTCCTGGGAGGTCCCAGCAGTCAGCAGCAGTAGCAGCAACTCTCCAACCAAGCACATTCTAATGTGCTAAAAAAAAACTTTAACATTTTGACAGATGCAGAGAGAAACAGGTATACAAATTTAAAAGAAAACAGAAATATTTTTCCAACTGGAAAAAGAAGAGATACAGAAGTAATTGAGGGCATTTCCAAAAGTTGGCGGCCCATGTGATCCGACCCTTAAAGGAAGTGCCCGAGCCGGCATTTGCAATCCAGAGAAGATGATCCATACGTAGGAAGCTTTAACACCTCTCTCGTGATGACAGCGTCATCAGCATCACCAGAGGACAGGCCCAGGGACACCCCAGGCAGTAACCCCTCTCTCCTCCAAAGCCCACCTGTTCAACAGGCACGTTGCCCGGCCTCATCGTCCCCCTGCAGACTCCACGCCGCTGCCTCACTTCCTCTCACTCACCTGGGTCTGCTCAGGCCTGTCTGAGGTCCGGGCAGATACACATACAGAGCGAGGGCAGGGTGATAGGCCGCCGTCCCAGCCGCCAACCCCAGACTACTCCGGCTTGTCATGAGCATTGATGGGAAGGGGCTTGTTATCAGGAAAGTGTATTTTTAGCTGTCAGACCCTGTTAACAGCTGATGTGACATCCCAAGGGAAATGCATCTTGGCACTGGCATCCCCTGTCGCTGGCCTGTGTATCTAGGCATCCCACAGACACTGTTGTGGCAAGCAGTGGGGTCCCGGATGCCAGGCACTGCCTGCGTGCTGTGCGTTCATGTTATCGTGTAGACTCAGAGGTCGGTCAGTGCCGTGGCATAAGTGTCCCGCTCTAGCAGCCCACCCCAGCTCATGTAGCTCAGAACTGCCCACCCCAGCAAGGAAACCAGCTTGATGTTAGTTAGCACTGATGACCTTATTCCCACCAGATGCCTCCCCAGCTGAGCTGAGAGGAAGCAGCATTTAAAAAAATCTCCCGCAGACAGACCCCTGTGCTACCCACAAGCACAGGCAAATCGTGTTTCCCTCGCCCCGTCTGGACAATGGTGCTAGCAGGTCCCCCTGGGCCACATCTCTTGTCGTGGGACCTGCAAATGTCACAATATTGAGTCACGCGTGTCCAGGCACCCCCTCCCCCTCCCCCAGGTGCTCTGTGGTGGTGGCCCAGCTATGACTTTTCTCACTCACTCTTCCCAAACACCAGCGGCTGTGGAACACGGGCCAGCCTGTGTGGGCGCTGAGACAAAAATGAGGCCCACAAAGCCCCAGGGCTCCATCTGAGAGCCACCACCTCTGGGATCTTCTTCTGCTGTATGGGCTTTCCCAGTGCCAGGCCTGTGGTGGGTAACTCGTCTTGTGCCAGTGCCTCCGCCTCCACCCGACTTTGTCTCCCTTGGCTCAAAGTCCCTGTGTCGGTGAATGTCATCCCGGCAGCCCGGACACATTCTAGCCGACAGGGTGATTGATGCACCAGCAGGCGAGCCTCCTCACAGCAAACTGCTGGTGTGTTTCACAAGCTCCTGCGGACATGCTGGCTCCACTGAGATCACGGACTCCTTCCTGGCTGCTTCCCTGTGGGTGTTGGAGGAACTTACGCCCCACACCCTGAGGTCAGTGAAAGGATGCTGACTGGTTCCAGCATCTTCTTGGGCCACTCTGGCCCCGGGAGCCTCCTGTTCTTTCCCTGAGCAGATCTGAAGCTTTCTGGCTCAATCTTGAAATGAGCTACAGCGTGTCTATCTGGGTCTGGCATAACCAGCCCCCAGATGCTCTGCAGTGGGTGATCCAAGCTATGACTTGTCACTCATCCTCAAAACGCCGACTGAGCGTGGGATGTGGGCCAGTCCCAAGCTGGGCGCCAGCACCTAGAAATGAGACCAAGGATGCCCTGGGCCTCTGAGGGGTGCGATCTCTGGGCGCCTCCCTCCCCAGATCCCATCAAATAGGCAGAGACAGAGGAGAGGCAGCCCCATACCTGGCTCAGCTGACCCTGGCTCCCTGGCCAAGAGCTGAGACAGGGTCGGAGTCATTGGCTCGAATGAAAACCTTGTTTATCCATAGGTTTGATTTGTCTCTGTCCCCTCATATCCCCCCATTTTCCGTGACCACAGGGAACTGAGATTTGGCTGTAATTGCTGTTCAATCACACCCCATTAACTTCCCACTTAAACTCACTTATACCAAGTCCATATTTTATCCCCTCACCCACGCAGCCAACACACTAGAGCCCACAAATCATCTGTGTGCACTTCGGAAATTGTTCAATTATTTTTAATCAGCTTGAAAGCATCCAGTTCCAAGGTTAGCACTGACCAGACTCACAGGTATCAGGAGCCCAAAGCACCTGATTACAGAAGAGACCCTTGCCTGTCGCAAGCTCTTGTTGGCTGTCCTCCTCCCACGGGGCGTGTCCACACAAACACGCACCCTCAAGCTCCTTTTTAAATGACCAAACGAGAGGTCGAAGTGGTTGAATCAGGCCCTGGGACTGCTGGGGGGCAGCCGTGTCCAAGGTGGACGCCTCTCTGCTCAGGGTGGGTGTTCACGTCCTCCGAGTGCTGTCACTCACCACGCTCCCCTGGGTGTGTCTCACCACAACACACGCAGGAAACTGTAGGGAAAGAGAGGCTGATGAGGAGAAAATAAACAGTCTGTGCTTTCTCCTAACTAAAAATTACCTGTTGCTTATCTAATAATAATAATCATCTGCTGCAATTTTTCCAACCCTCAGAATAAATCAGATTTAAAATGTTGATGTGTCACAACATCCGATTAGCAGCTGAGGCGTAAATTACAGAGCACAGCTGAGCGTGGTAGGCAAGGAATGGGATGAACATCGGTACCTTGGAAAAGGCTGTGTAAAGGGGTTGTTAAGAAAGCAGCGTACACTGCTATGCAGATGGATAGCACTATCCCAAAGGATGGCTCCCTGGCCTTTGTCCTTTGATGACTGACCTGTTGTCCCAAAGAAGGAATTTAGAGAGAAAAGGCCTAAAATGGAAACTGATCCCTGAACATCTGTCTAGTACAGTTTAGACCATAGCAAGTACTTGGTAAATATTTACTGGACGGATGGGTGGGCGGGTGAGTGGGAGGGAGGGTGGGGAAGTGGGTGAGTTGGTGAATGGGTGGAGGGGTGGACAGATGGATGGGCAGACGGACAGATGGACAATGGGCGGAAGGTGGATGGATGGATTGGATGACATTGCTTATGAGACTCAATTCACGCAGTAACAGGCAGTGATACAGGTTTATCACTCTTAGAAATTGTCCTATCTCCTGACGCCTCCATTCTGGGTGCTCTTTCTATTGCACACTACCCAGATAACTATCCCCTTCCTAACATGTCTCTCCCTCTACTGACGAGTCATTGGTGGCTCCCTAGTCCTTCAGAATAAAGTTTAACTGTGCAGACATGACCGTCAGCCTGCGTGATCCAGCCCCTGCCTATTCTCCAGTCCCACGTCCCGTCCCTCGTCTTCTCAGCTCCAACTCCACTGAAATACTTGCATGAGCGTGACCAGTTCCCGGGCCCATGTAGGCACCGGTCTTCTGTGCATGCTTCCCTGTGCCCTTCTTGTTCTCTATACTCTAGAGCACTTTGTGCACCTGCGCCCACCAGGACTCAGCTCGTGACGTAGCAACTCAGATTCCCCATGGAGGTGGTTGTCCACATCACCCCTGTGACTCCATGAGTGCCCTCTCTATATTAAATGATAATCATTTGTTTTCTTCCCTGTCTTCTTTCTCTAAACTGGGGTTCCTTGGAAGTAGAGTATATATTTGATCCCTGAATTTCAGCCATTGTTGTGTTTGGCACGAGGTAGGTTCTAATAATAGGAATAGGTGAGTGACTGCATGGAGCCATGTTTACCCTGGAGCAATGCTACCAGTCACTAACATGTCCTTTTCTCCCCCAGGTTTCTGATTCATCAAATCCATTTCTTAATCGAATGCTCAACAGAGATACTATCACAAGAATAACATACAAAAGTAAGTGTGGTTACATTTCCTATAAAGCAAGTGTTCTATAGGTTAGCCCTGTCTCGGGGTGCACGCCAGATCAGTGCTCTCCAAGGAGGCCTTTCAGCTTCATGACCCTTGCATTCTGCAGGAAGCCGCTCTGTGGAGTCAGGCTGGCTACAGAGCAGCTCGTCTCAAACAGAAGTCCCAGTAGTGCCTCTGTCATCCACACCTGTCTGAGGCAATAATGGTGATGGTGATGATGATCATCGCCATCCCCTGGACTGCTAATGAGCTGGGGCTCCACTAGCTGATAACTCTACCATGTCAGCTGGTCATGTCTGGGCTCTGCCATGATGTGACTGTGGAAACTTCTCCAGGAAGTGAGCGCCCAGCCTGAACGTCCACTTACCATGGCCCTCAAGCTCCATTCCAGGCAGAGGCCCTGTGGCATCACGCTCCATCCCTAGGTGTGAGCCACTGACTCAGAGTGTCCAGGCTGGTTTCCTTGGGTTTCCAGGCTGGTTTATCCCCAGCTTCCTTAAGCTAAAAGGAAAAAAACAGGCACAGTTGAAGGGAGAAGGAGGGAAAAGGCCCTCCTCTTATCTCCCAGCATCCCAGAAGCTGCAGGATTTGGAAAAAGTTAGGTGCATGGCCCGCATCAAGGGATGGAAGAAGGTAGTACAGGAAATAGTTTTTTCCCTACTTAGTCATGAGCAGGAAAGAGGGACGCAAGGCCTGAATTTGTTCATAAGCAAGGAGCTTTCTCGTTTTGTCTCTTTCCTCATTGGTAAAGTTCAACTTTGGGTTTCTAAGGTCTTCCAGGTCTGGGATTCTGAAACAAGCGATAGGTAAATCATGATTTTCCAGAATTAAAAAAGAAAGCACAAATATCTGAACATCCCAGTGTCCTCCCCGAAGTAAGGAGCTGGGCTTTGCCTGCTGCTTCTGCAGCCAGTGGCCGTGTGAAGAGTGGGCTCCCCCGAGGCTCCTGGGGGCAGGTTGGAGACCCCTGCCCTCAACCAATTAGTCATTCATCAGCAAGCATTTCCTGCACACCTGTGCCTTCTCAGACACCAAGCCAGGCTCCCAGACGCCAGCCCGCTCACAAAGTACTCACTGTCAAGTCACTCTCACACGAAGAGGCTGAGGTAGAGGACAGCGGGGTGACAGATGAATCTGGAGAGTCCACCAGGTAGACATCACCTCATCACCTCATGAGGAGCCCCTTGGAGTGCTCTCACATGCACACTTAGATGGCTCAGCGAAGAAGATGTGTGTGCAAACAGCACATTTTACAGATGCCCATGAAAGACTACTAGTCTTTTAACTTTTTGATTAAAGACACATGAAAATTAAATAAAATGTTTCTGCAAATCTTGAATTTGCATTTTAGAGACCGTGAAAAGCTGTGAAATCGCACATTATGCCCCAACACACAATCTAACACATTGCCAGATGCAGAGTCCGTCATTAGCGGGACTTCCCTCGCCACCCCACCCCCAGTGCTCATCTGATTGCTATTAAGTGCCAAAGATGGAACAGGAACAAATATTGATTCCCATACAACTGGGGACTGGAGAGCCAGGGGAAACGATCTTCTTGGGACCAATGATGGATGGTGTTTTGTGGCTCAGGGAAGTTTCAACTTCGTCCATTTCAGATGAGGACTTCCCTGCTGGCTGCCACCACCATGGGGCCCATGGGCATGGAAGACAGACTTGGGCAAGAGCAGAAGAATAGAAGAAGTGTTTAAAGCCAAGACTGCTGTTCATTTGCACACACCCTCTCTCTACAAGTATCAGCTGAGGGTTCCTGGGTACCAGCAGAGAGATGCCTTGAACACGTTTCCTGTCCTCCAAGCTCTCATTCTCTAGTTGGGCAGACAGACTTATCATAGTGTATTATAAAGATTTTGCATGACAATTGCAATGTAAAAAAATACAAATGGAACACTTTGGGACCACAGAAGATCTGCGTAGAATCACATGGTGAGGTTGCGCAAAGAAGGTACCATTCAAGAATGAGTGAGTGACTAATTGTTGATGGAAGAAAGGGAGGAGAGGAACAGGAGAAGCCATAAACACAACAGCATGGAGACCTTTGAAAGGACTGTGAAGAGCTCCATGGAGGAACTCTGTCTTCATGTCCACACAGTGCCTAAAGGAAATCCAGTAAGCGTTGTTGCTGGGGAATTAACAGTGGAACACATGTGGTAGCAGGGACAGGGGACCTAGCAAGACGGTCGGAAGCTAGATCTTGAAGGAAGGTTCCTGATGCCAGGCTGAGGAATTTATGCAGAAGATACTAAGGAAATGCCATTACTGTCTCTGAAGACTCATTTCTGGAAATGCAAATAGAAAGAGCAGGAACATCTCCTGCTGCCGTCCCTCAACAGTCTATGCTGGCCAGAGCCAAGGGGGGAAAAAGGCAACTAACACAAGATAAAGAGGCTCCCGGTGGAGAGAGAACATTTTAGGTCCCCTAATAACAGGTATTTTGTGCTCTTACCTGTTGGAGAGTACTGGAGGGTCACGCCTTTATCACACACCGAAAGTAATACCACAGGGAAAATGAAGGTCCCATACAAGGGAATGGCCCAAACACTCAATGCCCTGGACACTGTGGCTTTGATTTGCTCAGCAGGAACACACCAACACTCTTTCCTGTGACTAAACTCCCTAAGGAAGCCAGCCTGTGGAAGACTGGACTGGAAGCAAGTAGAGGAGATTCTGAAACAGGAAACTACTCACTTGGACACAGCCAGTGGCTAGGAAACACTCCCCGGAAATCTCTTCAGATACCCTACAGGAAGCCACAGTGGGTGCTAGTGTTGAGCCCATAAATTCTAGTGGAGATGAAGGCTATGCCCCCTTGCCGGGAGGCACCTATCAGAGGACCTGCTCCCATATTTGTATGCCAGGTAGAAATCGACTACCCCCCTGTGACCAGCCCTACAACCGAGAGGCACAGGGCCTCAGCCGTGCCTCCACTGCCAACCAGCCCATTCTGCTACTGCTGAGCCAGAATGACACCTCCAGCATCGGTTCGGTTTGCCTGACTCACTCGGAGTATGGCCCCCTCTGCAAGATGCTGAGCCTCAGGAATCTGGAAATGAGCCTGGCTAGCTCCTGCAGCCCAGGCTCTGTGTTAAGAGGTCCCCGAGCAGCAGTGTCCCTGCATGATGGAGAGACCTGAGAAATGCATCATTAGGCAATTTCACTGTGGTGCTGACGTCAGAGCGTACTTATGCAGGCCTGGATGGCGCAGCCACCATTGCACCCAAGTGTATGCCTCATAGGACTGTATCCACCCTCACTGTGGGGGGACTGTCAACCCAGCTGACAGATGAGGAAGCCACAGTGCCAGGAGATGAAGTCACCCAACAAGGCTACATCTAGCAAGTGTTGTTAAGTCAGTAACTTCTGCAAAACAAGCCAGAGTCCAGTGACAAGCACTAGACCATCTACAAGTCTGTTGGGTGCCTGTGCTTCCAGCACAAGTGTGCAGGTCAGCTCAGGCAGCTTGGCTTACTTTTATGGGGCCACGTAGCTGCTCAGGGCAAGTAATTCTCATGGTTGAAACCAGAAATATGGACATTATTTAATTGCCAGGCTTGAAATTCCCACTGTCGCGTCTGTCCATTCCACTGACCAAACAAGTGACTTGGCAAACTCCAGCGTCAAAACCCTGCCATGGAGGTGAGGTGGGGAGGGAATAAATATACCCGCAACACGAACCTACTTTTCCATAGTGCAGAAGATAAGAGAGCAAGACTTCAAACACCAGTCCTCCCGGGGACTTCTCTAGGCATTGACCTTCCTATCGTGTCTTCCCTCAGGAGTGAGGAAAGCTGAGCTCTGAGATCTTAAAGCTCATTGTAATGTTGATATATTCATATTATATGAAATTTCTCAGCGTGTTCTATAAATTCCAGCTTTGGTTCAGTTTGAAGTGCCATCTCTGCTTTCTTGCATTTGTTTCCACTTAAAGGGGACTTGAACTAATGTCAAAACTTTGAATTGCTAAGCCCCCTACCCTCCTAAACTCTGCAACGCCTGCCTGACCCTGGCATGAGACGACCCCTAAAAGTCAAAGGCATTTGCAGGGACACAGTGGCATGACCGTTTGCCCTTGGGGGGCAGACGGTAACCAGAAATGGCATAGAGGTTGGCTCTAGGTGGGGCTTTCCCTGAGAGGCAGTCATCATAGGAAGGACTGTGAGTGTATGAGCAAGGAGTGTCACACTGCTGGGAAAAATAGAACACTCTGGGGCCTCAGCTGAGAAGAGAAAACGGGTTGGGGGGGGGCCAAGGGTAAAAGGTGAGAGGTAACTGCATCAATCCAGAGGCTGAGACCATGTCAGTTGCTAGCAGATTAATGTAGAGGAAGTGGTGAGAAATGATTGGGTGCCTTTTAAAGGGAGAGTCGAGAGATTTCTTGATAGTTTAGAAGTGTGACAGGAGAAATAGAGGAGTCAAGGATGATTGTAAGAATTTTAGCCTGAGCAATGAGAAGGGAGATATTTCCATCAACAAAGACTGTGAAGACTGCAGATGAAGCGTATTTGTGGGAGGGAAAGGAATCAGAAGTTTCCAACATAGGACGCTCAAGTTGTTGGCCATCAATGAAGGGTGTAGAGTAGACATTTGGCTATATGGTCCTGATTTCAGGAGAAAAAAACTGAGGCTGTAAATGTGAAAGTCCGTGGGATTCAGCTGGCATTTAAACCTGGGTCAAGTCAGTTGATAGTAAATAGGGGGGAAAGGAGGGATGTGTCCTCACTTTGGAAAGAGCAGCTCAAAGCCCCAGAGCTTAGGACTGCAAGTCATTTCTTTTAAAGTTCACCCTGGAAGAGGCTCCTGTGTGTCTCCTTTCAGCGAGGTGAGGAAGGAGGCAGCAGGCATGGAATGATGGGCTGAAATCACTACAAAATGGTAGCAGGATAGATACAAACCTTTGAGCCTAGAGTAGATGTGAAGGGGAGGAAAAGGATGGGCAAGACCAGCATCCTGGGCCAGTTAAGAAAA